TTGGTTAGATTTATGAATTTAAATGTTTGGTTTCATAAAAGCAATTTGAAGGTACTATTTTTGCTGTGATTGGTCTCAAGAATTGAGCAGCTTCCTTCTATTTTGGTTTATTTTAGTTCTTTCCTAAAATAAAAGGCATAAAAATGAAAAGAAAACAGAGATGATGCAGCCAAACCTTATAGGTGAATTTGATGATGTTTACGTCAACTTGAAATTGTACTTATTTGAGAATTAATTTTTGGTCTTAGCTAGCAACATTGCCCTAAATGAAAATAGAGATTTTTATTTTTATCAACGTATTAGTAAAACCAAAGTTAGAGAGGCTTTAAAGAAATGAAGTGTGAAAAGCTGTTGTACCTGATGATATTTCAATAGTGACGTGGAAATGCTTAGGAGATGAAGTAATTTCTTAGCTTACGAAACTTTTCAAAATTATTTTGAAGACAAAATATGTCAGATGAGTGGAGTGTATTGATTCTTATTTTAGGAATAAAGGTAATCCACAAGAGTGTGCAAATGATAGAGGAATTAAGTTGATGTGTCATACTTTAAAACTTTGAAAGAGAGTTATTGAGCATAGATTACAATGTGATACTACCATGTTTCTCAAAATCAATTTGGATTCATGCTGGGTAGGTCTACTATGAAAGTTATATATTTATTGAGAGGTTTGATGGAGAAGTATTGGGAGAATAAGGAGGATCTACGTATTATATTTATTGATTTATAGAAAGCTTATGATAAAGTTCCAAGAGAAGTGCTATGGAGAGTTTTAGAATAGAAAAGGGTTAATACTGCTTATAATTAAGTCATTAAGGATATGTATGAAGGAGCTGCTACATGTGTTCAAACACTAGGAGGTTGGACCAAGTAATTTTCTATTTTAGCTGGATTACATCAAGGATCAGCTTTAAGCCCATTCTTTTTTTCTTTAGTGATGGATGTTCTTACTAGACATTTGCTGGAGGATGTACCTTGGTGTATGATTTTTGCTTATGATTTTTCTTCTTGTTAATAAGACTAGTGGAGAGTTGAAGTTAAATTTGAAATATGGATGTCAATTTAGAGTCCAAAGATTTTCGTTTGAGTATATCTAAAACTGAATACATGAAGTATAATTTTAGTAGTAATAAATCTAATGTGTGAATTGTAACTTTGGGAGGTCAAGTCATTGTACACATTTTAGATATCTCTAATCTATTATCCAAAGTGAGGGTGAAATAAATGGGATATTATTAATAGAATTCAAGTTTGATGGTTTAAACATACAAATGCATCGGGCTTGTTGTATGATAGAAAAGTACCCTTCAAAATTAAGGGAAAAATCTAAAAGATGGTGGTGAGACCTACAGTGCTTTATGGAACAAGATGTTGGCCATTAAAAGAGAAGCATACAAATAAATTAAGTATTGCAGAGATAAGGATGGTCAGGTGGATAAATGGCTTTACTCTTAGAGATAGAACGAGCATATACATGAAAAGATTGAAGTAGCTCCAGCGGCAGATAAGATTAAAGAGTCTCCTTAGATGGTTTGGTCACACAAAATATTGGCCTTTTGATGACTTGATTAGGAGAGTAGATGTGTTAGATTTAGCCTATGTTAAGAGAGGTATAGGTAGACCTAAAGAAACTTGGTTAGAAAATATTAGAAATGATCTTTTTTTTTTATTAGATTTAAATGAGAATTTGACTCTTAATAGGACACATCGGATAAAAAGAATTTATGTAGATGATCCCATGTAGTGGAATAAAGGCTTGATGTTGTTGTTTGTTTGTTGTTGTTGTTGCTAGCAACATTACTAAGAATTTTATTATTGACCTTCTGAAGGTAATCATACTGCATATAGATTTCAACCAAAGTTAAAAGGTATCGATCGGTGTACTGTCACAAATTTTGAGATTTAAAGGTCACATCATCATTGAAGTTGTTAATTATTGTGCCAAATCATTAAAAAAACTCAGACAAGCTCATGAAATTATATATCAAATGCAGTGATGTTAAAGATGAATGTTTAGGCCCTAGGGCTAGGCAAGATGAAGTCATAACACCTTACCCATGTCCCAGATGGGCGCCACGACTAAAACATGCATAGGAGAGCATCTTGCTTTAAGGAACAAGGCTTTGTTGCGAGCATCTTGTCTTGATTGAAGCATTAGATGCTAAAACTTCAAATGTAGAAGATGGGCTATTTTTTATGATAATAAGTTGATATTAGGTGACGTGAAAATAACACTAAGAGTTAGAAAAATAATAATTCAGAATAATTTAGGTGAAAAACATCTCAAGGCTTACCCCTCGAGCTTTTTATATGAAGCTTGTGCCGTAGCTTGCTTGAGGCCCGCCTTGAGGTGCGCCTTGCTTCTTGCTGCCATGAGGTATATGTCTCATACTATTTATATATTTTTATTAAAACTTACCTAAATCCTAAACTAAAGCCTAGAACAAATCACACCTTTATATTCCTCCAAGCCGTAACAACTTTCTCTCGACTACGTCGACCTCTAGTCCATTTTCTTCATGATAGCTTCCATAGCCACCATTGTTGTAACCACCACCAGAGATCACTTGGAAGCCGCACACCAATACTACCTCCTGCTCTAAAATTTTTGGAGTATTACTCTAACCTTAATGTTGATGACAAAAAAAGAAGGATGAATGAAACAAATGAAGTAGATTGGGAGGAATTGAACTCTGCATGATGAGACAGGATAAAGATCAATTTATTATAACGACGACTCAAATAAGGACTCCCTCAGTAATGATAGCACATGATTTTTGAGTTGTCAACTATTTCAATTTTTTTTAAGGAATTAAATGTGGATGAGCAGGGAATTGAAAAAGAAGAAATCTTCAGTTGAACTTGATCTTATATGATACTTGTATGTTATTCCTATATTTTATATTATTTTGCTCTTGTATTATTTGGATTTCAATTCTATTTTATACAATTTTTCACTTGTCACTTTATGATTTATGCAATTTTTTATTTCATATATATGTGCTCAATTTTAAACCATGTTGCAAGTAATTCATCTCTAGAGTATCTAGGGATTTTAAGAACACTGATCCAAAGTAGAAGAAGAAAAAAGCTAGAAGCTCAGGTGTTTTCAAGTTTTCATTTATAGTGAGGCCATCTTTACATTGAATAGCTGAGTCATCTAAAAAACGCAAGTAAATGAATTGAATTATCATCTACTATTTTATTCTTGTCAAGGACACATTTTGTGCTACATTTTTTGCATTTTGTGATGGATGTTAATTCAACAAAAATGTAATCCACTACTTTAGGCGTAAGATTACATTGAAAAACATTGCAAGAACGGATTGACAGTTCAAACTCTTGGACATTGATAAGTGGTATATTTATATCTTAGATGTATTTTATTATTTGGACAGTGCTGATCTTATAATTAATTTTGCAGTTATGACACTTCTTGAAGGGTGAATTAGTCATGACAGCAAATAGTTTGTTATCCTAGTAATAGTTTTTTTTTTTAAATTCTGTTCAACCTCCTACCCAAAAATAAATAAATATATAATTAAAAAAATAAATAATATGAAAAATAAGAAATGAAATATTTTTGTTGAGGTCCTTTGCCATGCAAGAGTTCATGTAAAGATTAGAGAGGTGATTATGTTATTTTCAGCATGCGAGTAAAAGGTCTGGAGTATTATTTGTGCTGAGAAGTGCATCAAGCGCTCACAAATTAGAGGGGAGGGAAATGAAACCAAGGAAAAGTTAGTGCCTCGGGTAGGAAATTTTCAAATTGAAATCCCATCTATATCTTTGGTATGTAATAGGCGTTCTTTTCAAAAATGAATTCCAACAATCGCAGATCAAACAATGAATGCCCTTTCTCATTTGCCTATTCTGAAGAAGCCATACATGTGATGAAATTAATCATGTACTTTCTCTATTTTGTGTTGCTATTGAAGATAAATCTTTGTTGCACAACCAACAGTATAGCACTGTTAATATCTTATTAGCCTTTTTCTGTCATGAAGAGTGGACACCTCTGAAAGTCTAAAGCAAGTTTATGGATGATTGGGTGGGCTGAATCCCCATAGTTACTATCTCAAAATAAAGATTACAATGTTAAGTTGAGAAACAGGTCAAAATGAAAATGTGTTCTGTTTAATTCCTTGACTCTTTAAATATGATCCAAAATATTCTTGTTGAATCATTTTGGATTAAATTTTCGGAGTTAGACATAGTTTTTTATTAGCTTATTTTGGATTGGATTTGAGGAGTTGAAAGATTAGTTTGAATCAAAATTGAGGAGTGAAAGGACTTGGATTTATAAGATATTCTAGGACTAAAACAACCTCTATATATATTCCTGGGATAATTTTGACCTTTGCTTGTATTAATTTGGTGTTTGTCATGTAGTTATTCTTCATCTTCTCTACTTCACCTACTATCCATACTGATGCGATGGCTATTTTATTTTTGGATGGAGCATCGTTATTGATCTTAGGTGTTTATTGCATCTTCTTTCTAGTGAGCTGCTTAATTGTAAATTCTGCTAAACCTATCTTGGTTTTTCTTCAAATTCGTCTTGTCCAACATATTTTGTTATTGGTCTGTTTAATAATAGAAGTGCTTTTCATTATATTATAGAATTCTCAGCTCAAACAGCATCTCATCTTGTCATTCTTATCTGTCCTGTAAAATTTTGAGCTTCATACTAGGAAAAATGGATGTGTAAATGCCACTTATCATTCTGAATAAAACTATTTTAATGACTCAAAACCATTGCGTTCTTTCAGCTTGAATTATAATCTATTTTGCATGCAAAGAACTTTGGTCCTTGTCGATGAGTACTTTTGTTAGTGCCCAGCCACTTTCCTCAATTTTTTTGCTCTACTTGGTTGGTGTCTTATAACTTCATACTTACTCGAATTTACCCACACGGTTCACACCCACTCACCATGCACTAACAGGTAACGACTGGGAGACTTGTTACCTAACTTGGATTATTTTGTTTTTTTTTATAGTTTAAATCTATCTTAGAAAGAAAAGGGGCACTGAAGGATCAATGGCTGCAGTAATATCACTTTGTGCTTCAATATTGCTTCCTTCTGTAGTAATGCAGAGTTCTCAAAGACACATTGGGCTACGCAAACTCATTCCAGTCAAATACCTGAAACATTTTGGTAACATAAATACTGGAAGGAACCACATTGGTTTGAAAGCAGGTGTATCACATCGAAGGCTCGTTGTATTGGCAGTTACTGAAGGTTCAACAAAGTCGAGCCCAGCAGATGACAAAATTCCATCATGGGCCAAACCAGATTCAGATGAGCCTCCGCCATGGGCTCGTGACGAAGGTAATGGGAGCACATCTCAGCCAGCATTTGTGATCCCCTTTTATGCCTATCTACTGGCATCAGTTATCACTGCTATAGCGGCGGTACTTTCTATGCCTTTTTAATATTTTTATCATTATAGATCAAATAAAATTTTGAGTTTATTGATCTATGTTTCAACAGATCGGTTCCATTTTTGAATACATAAATCAGAGACCGGTGTTTGGCATTCTGGGCTCGGACAGTGTGTTTTATACTCCATTGCTTGGATTCTTCGCTTTTACCGGCATACCGGCATCTGTAAGTTTTCATTTCTGGTGGGTGGTTTGTCTTCAATCCTTGGTTTCCTGTGCTTGTTTCTATATCATTCTTTTTGTTTGTTATAGGCCTTTCTATGGTTCAGATCTGTTCAAGCTGCAAACAAGGAAGCTGAGGAGCAAGATCGAAGAGATGGGTATTCATAGTGGCCATAATTCTCCTGTTTTGTGCGGGTAATTCATCTTTCACTTCTGCTTATAAAATGCCTTTTCTTATCAGCAGTAGGCACCAAGATATCATAAAACATTTTCAAAAGTTTTTTCTTTGTTTATTATCCGATGTAGCATGATATTTATTGGACACAAACATGCACGATTTTTTTACGACAAACTGTAGAGACTTTGGCTACAAGTAGGAATTAGTAAATCCTGTAATTTCAAAATTAGTAAATCTTTGGAGGATTAAAATCTCAAAATTATTTATCTTGACAATTATCAAATTTTTATAAATTCTGATAAACTATTTTGCTATTTATTTCGGGATTTAAAATTTGAGAGAAGAAATCTTTTAATTCCATTAGGTCTTATGAAGGATGGTTTTTAACAAATACTAGATTTCATCAACTGGCTGAAACTAGATATATGAAAACTGTATGATTTTAAGGCTTCATTTGGGATATAAGCTTTGTTCTTGCTTTCTAAAGTAGCTCTTTAGTTCAAAAATTTTCAATTAATTTTTTTTTTTCTAAAACATTGCTTTAGAAGGTAATAAGAATGTTCCAATTTTTTGGACAACTTTTTTATTGCTTTTTATAGCAACTTTTAGTACAAAAATTTATGTACTGAAAATTTACTTTCCAAAGCAATAAGAAAGTTATCCCAAATGAAGCCTTGGGATGACTTTTTTATTGCTTCTTAAAGCAACTTTTTAGTATAAAATTTATAATTTTTGCTAGAAAGCTGCCTTAAGAATAAGTTTCTAAAATTCTGTTAGAAATTAAGCTTAAGGCTTTATTTTGGACAGTGTTTTTATTGTTTTTTTTTTAAAACAGTTTTTTAGTACAATTTTTTTTAAAATAATATAAAGTTTTGTATTAAAAAGTTACTTTAGAAAGCAGTGAGAAAGCTATTCGAAATAAAGCTTAAGGTTTGTTTGGGACAACTTTTTTGTTGTTTTCTAAAATAGTTTTAGTATAAATATTATTTGAATTAGAAATTTTTATACTAAAAAGTCGTTTTTTTTAAACATTCCCTAAACTTCCCTAAACTTTATTTTTTGGTTGAATTTCATAATGCCAAAGAGTGATTTTTCAATCCGTTAATCGACTCAATTATCCGAATAAAATATGCATAATTATTAGCACCATTTCAGTTTTTATTATTGTTTCATGAATGAAATTAAAATGAATATTTATTTCGTATAATTTTTGAATTCGTAGGTCAAGTTGTCCTGACGGATGCGTTTCGGTTCAAGATGGACACTGATATTGGCTGGCTGTAAGTCAATGATGTTATAGCTTTCGTCGTCCTTACTAGAGACAGTTGAAGCTTCTATTAAAATGTAAATTGATCAAGGTACTTGAAGATAATTTATTTGTATAATAAATTTTATCAAAGCGAAATTATTGTGTATTCTTAGAATAAAAAAATGATAATTGTATAGTTAGTTTGTTAGCTATGATATCTGAGCTACAAAAGAAATACCCATTTCAATTGCATAATACTAACCCTGGATACTCATGTGGGTCAAAGTTATGAATTGATCTTGTTATATCGTAGCAAAATTCATGGCTGTGAGGCTTCCTTTTTTGTGATTCACATAGAAATTCGCCAGAGTGCTCAAAAGTTTATGCAGCACAATAACTAAATTGGGTTGTTATAGCAAATTACATGCATCTTGATAAATCACAAATTTGCACTAATTCTTATTATGGACTAGAAAATTTATGGTGGTAGAGAGAGAATTTTGTGTCATAGCTTTGCACTGTATACAAATAGGGAAATGAAAGAGTTTGGGTGAGACGAAAAAAATCAATAAAGGAAAAAACCATTAGATCTTGTTCACTTGAAATGATTCCACTATAAGTATGAGTTACAAAGATTGATTTGTCTTTGAACTTTGAGATGGTAAAATTCCAAGAGTATAGAGTGGTAGAATTTGTATGTATGTTTGGGGTTCAATGACTATGGGTTTGACGATGACGGTTGGTTGGTGAAAGGCTTGTTGGAGGCAATTGGGCGATGAAAGGTTTGTCAGTGATGGTTAGGTGACGAACGATTCGATGGTTATGGCTGCATGGAGGTTTGACGATGATAGTAGGGATGTGAGAGTTTGACGATGGTTACTGTGCGGAGGTTAGACGACGATGGTTACTGTGCGGAGGTTTGACGAGGATGGTTGGCTGACGAAGATTTGCTAATGACGATTAGGAGGTTATGTGGTTGTAGGTGTCCGGAGATGTGATGGCGGAGGACGAGTTGTGGTCTGGTGGCGATGGCCGAGTATCCTTATATAACAATTTTTGATGTTATAGCTCACTTACACTCTCCTCTTTAAAATTAAGTATTAGGATCCTTTTAGAAATTCAGTATCCTTATATAACAATTTTTGATGTTATAGTAATTATTTTTCTTTTGACTTTTTGTTTCTTTTGATTTTCTTCAATTTCACTTCTTTTTTTAATGCACTTGAGTACTAAAGTAATAATTTTGAATATATAATAAACTTTCTTCTTTTAAGAGACCCTAATTTAAAATTATGTAAAGATTGTACAAGTTTACTAATTACATACGTGAGTTCATAATGAGTTTTATAAATAAATTTAAATACTTTCTTTTTCTAAACTTAGTTATCTAGCCATATCACCAATAGTCAGTGCTCAAGTGTTATAGCATTTAAGTTTAAAAATTAATTTAGATAAATTTTTTTGGTTGATTGTTATGATTTTAAATTTTAAATTAATGTGTTTTGTTCGTTCAATTTAACACCTATAATTTTAGATTATTATTAATTATAAATAATTTTTAATTATTATTTTTCATTTTTGATTAAATTCGCTATTAAAGTGTAATATATTGAGAATATTTCAACAATCAAGCAATATTAAAATTTTAATTAATAAAAATTAACAAAATAACATACAAAATTAAAATAAAGTGTACAAGTAATAAAAATTATAAAACACAATACTCTTAATTGGAAATGATGATGTATTTTCATTAAGAATGATAGCTAGTATAGAAGGCAATAAAATGAAATTACTAAATCCTTAACTACAATACTATGTGCACACATGCACAACCAAATCACAAGAACTACTACTAGCATCATCAGTAGAAGAACTTCCTAATCACACTAATCACGAGGACCTCCCCAAACAAAGAAAATAAAAAATAAAGAAAACAAAAAGAACAACTAACCATAACTTCATCTTTTCCTCTCTCTCTCTCAAGCAAGCAATGATAAACAACATAGAAAAACAAATAAGCAAGAATAATTGCCAATTCTCCTCATCATAACTATTATCTATTACTACTATTGGTGTTGGTGGGTGCCAAACAAATGGGTAGTATGCAGGGGTTGGCAGAAATTGGAGCTAGTTAGGGTTCTCTACAAAAGAACTCCTAAACATCCCAACTAATGCTTCATTAAATTGAGAAGCATAGTTGTACTACTTTTCCTGCATGCCCATATAATGGGCGTTTCGATAAGACATGTCCTACTGCCACCCCTTTCCTCCTAAAAAAGTGGTAACACCCTCCATTTGTTCCCTCAAATTTGTAACCTGCTCACCTAAGGATCTAGGAGTTTGGACACTTGACTAATGATAAGTGTAAATTATGTATTATTTTATAAATTTTATTTTTTAGTGAAAATGAGTTATTTTAGTTATTTTTATGTAGAAATAATCCAGAAATGATATAAATTCTAAGGAGATTATAGTGACGCGACGTCCAGCAAAATAACACTTTAGTGCCACCTTCAATACCACCGATGCACTACAAATTAGGCATTGTGGCATCGAGTTTTTTGTTTGCAAGTGCTATAGCGAAAACACAGTCAACAGCGTAACATTACCAGCATCGCGATGTCAAAAAGTTAGCTTGAGAGCACCATATTCTATGTTTTGAAAGCCGCGGTGCCACAATTTCTTACACCTTGGTGCAATTTTTTTCCACTCGAATGTCAATAGTGCCATAGCGTTGCATTTGTAACTTCCAAGGGCCACATTCTCTTAGTGAAGAGAAGTGACTGTTCGCAAAGTAACCGATTCACATTAGTAATGCTGTGATGGTTCAAATGTTTTAGCGCGAGGCATTATTTCACTTCAATGACACCGTGACACCACTTTCAAGCACCGTAGGGCCAGATGCCTTTTTTGTGTTGTTCTATAAATAATTATGATTTTATATTTATAAGGAAGTTTAGTCATTTCAGTAAAATAAAATACTTTTTTTATAGTACTTCTCTAGTTTACTCTTAGAGAAAAATATAAGGGAGGCTAGGAAAGTACAAGATTCAATCATTTTGAGTATTTTACCTGTGTTTCTTGAAGCAACTCTATAAGTTGAGGGAGAAGAAGTGTAGAGGAAATACTTTGATCCTTTTGGGTAATATCACTATCTTATATTTTCATTCTTCCATGAGTTTAAGAAAAATGAGTTTGATTGTCATTCATTTTATCTCTGACTAATTCTCTTATTTTGGATTTATGATGTAAAGTACATGTTAAGTACTAATGAAGACTCTAGTTCTATAAATGTTAAATGATATTTTCAATATTATCCCATTCTTAACTTAATACATATAGTGATCATATGTTCAGTTAAAATATAGTGTGATGTATAGTCTCAATAGGGGAATGCAAGAACAATTAAAAATATTGAGATATGATATTTGCATACCCAAATATAGGATGTAAAAGGTTCTAGGTGCTTAATAATATATTATAACTGTAGGAGATTAGCATATATCATTTTCATTTTTATAAGTTCGACTCAATCACATCTATAATTAAAAGTCTCATTAGATAAGATATAAAATTTATGCTCATCAATCCGAAATACTATTATTAAATATGATATCCAATATTTTTACTATTTTATTTAGTGGTAGAATCTCCATAAATATTATTTTTATTTTAATAGGATAATTATTGCAATTAGAATAAATGATAGTTGTTTTTTACAAATAAATATACTTCATTATGGTTTGACATTAAACATACCACTTTATTGCTTATTTTGCATGTATATATTTGTATATTAAGTGGGGTTTTGTTATTTTTATATTAAAAAAAAACCCAAGCATTATTAATTAAGACGTTAAAGAGCTCTAGATTTTTATACAAATCAAAAGTTCACTCCATAGCCCCTATCAAATTTTCGGCGCTGATGCAGGGGAAGTGCTTTATTTTTTGCAATTTTAACTATTTTATTGAATTATGTATATAGTGAGACCTACTTGTATCTTTTATTTTATTTATTTTATTTGCTGATTGCATATTCATGGTTACACGTTTTATGGATATGTAAATGAACCTTTGTTGTTTGACTTTGAAATCAAAAGAGCCCTTTAAAAAATTTAAAAAACTAAAAAGATTATGAAAATGATTGAAATTATACTAGATTAAGATTATTATAGACCTCTGAGGGATTATGCTAACCCTTTAGTAGACGAAATTCATAAAAACATTAAGAGACCTATATTCTAAGCTAATAATTTTGAATCAAAACCTACCATAATTTAAATGGTTAAAAATTCTAAGTTTGGAAAAACTCCTATTGAAGATCCCAATTTACACTTAGTCATTTATTTTTTAAATTTGTGCAACATTTAAGTACAATGATGTCAGCGATGATGCTAGTAGATTTAGATTGTTCCCATTTTCTCCAATAGATAAAACTAAGATGTGGTTGAATTCTTTACCCCCAAGCTCTATAATCACATGGAATGAGTTGGCTCATAAGTTTTTTGCTAAGTATTTCTCTCCCTCGAAGACTGTCAAACTTAGAAATAATATCACTTATTTTACCTAGTTTGAAGGGAAATTAATTTTTGCGAGTTAGGAGAGATTTAAGAAAATACTTGGGAAACCCTTTAATTATGTCTTACCTGATTGGTTAGTTATTCAAATATTTTATAATGAATTAGTAGGATCTCTTAGAACAATCATAGATGCTGCAAGTGGAGAATCATTAATGTTTAGGCCCCTTTAGGAAGCATATAAATTAATAAAGAAAACATCTACAAATAATTTCCAATGGCCTATTGATTGGGTAAATCCTAAGAGAGTAGGAGGAATTTATTCTGGATTAGGAACTGAATCATATATGCAATTGGAGGATTAAAATTTAATTAAAATTAATAATGTACAAAGGATTGCAAATATTAATTTGATTGAAAGAGGATCAAAATTTAATTAAAATTAATAATGTTCAATGGATTGAAAATATTAATTTGATTGGAAGATAAAATAATCCCTACTCCAATATATAGAATTCAGGTTTGATAAACCATCCTAATTTTAATTGATCCAATAATTTTGTTGGAAACAATCAATGAAATTCTAGTCAAAATAACCTAGTAAATTGGAACAATTTTCAACAACCTGCTGTTAATCTTAGACCTACATATACTCTAGGATTTAATCAAAGTAATCAATTTAGATGTAAAAAAATTACCATTGGAAGATATGGTAATGTAGTTAGGGACTCAATTGCAAAATCAAGTCACTTATATTAAAAATTTGGAAACTC